CTACAGCCAGAAGAGCACAGTGGGAGCTTTCCATGGTCCTGATAATGTATGCCATGAACCTGGACATATCTTGGCTATGTCAAGCTACTTTCTTCTGAACCTGACTTTACTTTAGCAAAAGAGACTGTTGCCTGATGTGACCATACCTAAATAACTTTGCTATCACTTCCCCTGCCAACTCTAAGCCCCAGCAGAACAATATATTCAGTCAGAAGTTAGTTATTTTTAGTGGAATAACCAGAGATTCTTTGTCAGATGTTCGTAATTGGGTATAAAATCACTGGATGTGGAAAAGAGTGCAGTGGTATGTGTTTAATAATTATGGAAGAGTTTCCCAAACTAAAATGTGGATTGAAGACAGATCTATATTGATTCACAAAAGGGAATTCTGCTAGCAAAGTAGTGTTCTTGGTTCCCACCCACCGTGTCTTCAGCACAGAGTTTAGAGCATAAATTATGTCTCTGTGTAAAACCGAAATTTGGAAAGGTCTGTTCTTGGTGTGAACAGAAGGTCCTTGTAATTTTTACTTTGGTGGACTACAACTCCCATCACATCCCATGTCTTGAACCCAAGGCTCAGGGAATAATTTGTGTGTGTGTGTGTTTCTGTTAAGCAGAGACTGGGAAGGTTAATCTCCTTTGCGCTAGTATCCCCTCTGACTTCTGCCATTGTCTTATGTGACAGATATTTGATCTTGTACGTTGATGTCAATGTTATGTATTCCTATGAACATCTTAAATGCCTTTTCTTTTTCTGAACAAACAAGAATGTCTTGTGGCACCTTAAAAAGTAACAAATTGTCTAATGGCATACGTGTTGGTGAGACAGTGAGGTCAGAAGGAAATTAAATGCGTACATTAAAAAGGTAAAGGTAAAGGTACCCCTGCCCGTACGGGCCAGTCTTGACAGACTCTAGGGTTGTGCGCCCATCTCACTCAAGAGGCCGGGGGCCAGCGCTGTCCGGAGACACTTCCGGGTCACGTGGCCAGCGTGACAAGCTGCATCTGGCGAGCCAGAGCCGCACACGGAAACGCTGTTTACCTTCCCGCTTGGTAAGCGGTCCCTATTTATCTACTTGCACCCGGGGGTGCTTTCAAACTGCTAGGCTGGCAGGCGCTGGGACCGAACAACGGGAGCACACCCCGCTGCAGGGTTTCGAACCGCTGACCTTTCGATCGGCAAGCCCTAGGCGCTGAGGCTTTTACCCACAGCGCCACCCGCGTCCCATAATGCGTACATTACTGACTGGCAATTATATCATTAACACCAGCTGTTTGCAAGAACACTTCACCACAAGTGCAGGTTGCAAGGTCCTTTGTTCTTCCTTTCTAGGTGCTGGACTGTGGTTAATGCTTAATGTTCTGTGCTTAATGACATCACCAGGACCAGCTCCTAGGCCTCAGGTTTGGGCCCAAAATCTCAGGGCCTGGGAGGCGCCTGACTGGCAACCCTAGTCATAAGGAATGCTCAGTAAAGACCAGGCATAGTCTAAGCACCATGTAATCTTTGTGTAAGAAAACCAGGATGAACGCTGAATAAAAATATCATCTGGAAGGGCCCAGAAACCCTCTAAACAAAGAAATTAACTTCTTGGGGACAGCTAAGTTCCTCTGCTCCCACTTCCTGTGAAGCCTGTTATGCTCCTTCAGGAGTGCAAAGTGGTGATTTTTTTTTTTTGGAGACTGGTACATAATATGCCCACTCTTTTGTTATGGTACATAGGCTTAAGTTTCTCAGACAGCCCAATGAACCAAAAACCCAGTACTGATGAACATAGACTCTTATTTAATCATCAAAACTGCAATGTATAATAATAATAATAATAATAATAATAATAATAATAATAATAATAATAATATCATCACAGGGGGGAGGTGTATTTTAAGCAATCAATAATAAATTCTGTGTCAGGCCTCATTTGCACTACACAGTGGTACCTCGGGTTACATACGCTTCAGGTTACATATGCTTCAGGTTACAGACTCCGCTAACCCAGAAATAGTGCTTCAGGTTAAGAACTTTGCTTCAGGATGAGAACAGAAATCGTGCTCCGGCGGCGCAGCAGCAGCAGGAGGCCCCATCAGCTAAAGTGGTGCTTCAGGTCAAGAACAGTTTCAGGTTAAGTACGGACCTCCGGAACGAATTAAGTACTTAACCCGAGGTACCACTGTACATTTAAAGCAGTATCTTACCACTTCAAACAGTCATGGCTTCCCCCAAAGAATCCTGGGAAATGTAGTTAGAAGTGCTGAGAGTTGTTAGGAGACCCCAATTCCCTTCAGAGAGCTTTGATTCTCAGATTTCCCTGGTCTGAATGTACTGTATTATATTCCTCCACACCCTTTCTCATGAATTAGCTTGTCCTATGTCCCTCTGGAGCGGTTTCCATACAACAGCTATGCAAACTTCCTGTATTGCTAGACTTTTGTTTTGCTCCTTTTTCTTACCATTTTATGTCACAGAAGGCCCTCAGAATCTCCTGTCTCCGAGCAATTTTCTGTCAGAAGTTGGATTTGTAGCTTCATGGCAGGCCAGAACCAAGGGTGCCTACTAGCTGAGTCTCTGCTAGAAAGTTAGCTAGAAAGTCATGCGTGGAATTAGTGCCTTCCCCTCGGTTTCTGTGGAAATGTCAACACTTTCCCTGTCGAGCTCACACCAAGCTATGCAGTAATAAGTAAACAATTGTTTCAAATTGGTACTATCAATTTACATTTATGCGGCACCTTCCGCCTGAACAAGTTTCAACGGGACTGCCGTTTCAAACTTCACCTCAGATTTTTGTGGTGGAATAATCTTTTGCAGAATACAACCTGCATCTGCTGAAGCGGTCAGGGTTGGCTTCTGCTTTCAGTGCCCAAGAGTGCTTTATTCCTGCTTCACCTGGTGCACCAGCTACAGCCATGCCTTGACAGGGATAGCTGAGGTTCAGGCCTCAGTAACTTTAAACTGGACTATAGTTCTATAGGGAACTATAGTGTGCATTGCAATAGTCCTGTCTAAAGTTACAGAGGGAACTAAGAGACGTGGGTGGCGCTGTGGTCTAAACCACAGAGCCTAGGACTTGCTGATCAGAAGGTCGGCGGTTCGAATCCCCACAATGGGGTGAGCTCCCGTTGCTCAGTCCCGGCTCCTGCCCACCTAGCAGTTCGAAAGCATGTCAAGTGCAAGTAGATAAATAGGTACCACTCTGGCAGGAAGGTAAACGGTGTTTCCGTGCACTGCTCTGGTTCGCCAGAAGCGGCTTAGTCATGCTGGCCACATAACCCGGAAGTTGTCTGCAGACAAACTCCGGCTCCCTCGGCATATAGAGCGAAATGAGCACCGCAATTTCAGAGTCGTCTGCGACTGGACCTAACGGTCAGGGGTACCTTTGCCTTTACCTATAGGGAACTACCCCTGAACTTGACTCATCCCACTCCACTGCCTGAGGCAAAACAATAAGGTACTGCCCTGTGTGCACACTGGCCACCCCCAATGAAGCCTCACTTACCAGGGTCATGGGGCTACGGCTTCCAGGTTTTGGCAAGATCTCACAGGAGCCCCATGAGATCTCACGGAGGTGTCCAGAGGCTCCGCAAAATCTCGTGGTGGTCTTGCGACATTTTGCAGGGCTCTCATAAGGTCTCGCCAGAACCCGGAATCTGCCACAATAACTTCTCCTCACTTCTCTGGTGGTACTGGGGGGGGGGGGAGAAATGATGACCACAGAGGCACCCCTTGCATTCTGCTGTTAGTGGGAAGGCAGTTCTCACAACTGCCTCACTGGGGCAAGACCTGCTGGGAAGAGTTGCTGTGATCATTAGGCCTGAGCCATTTGGTTTCTTTGAACTATCTGTTAACTTCACTGACACTTGGTGAGTTATTGCTGACTTGCTCTCGACTCCTGCCTTGACGTGTCCGAAGAAAAGGATGCTATGATATGGGAATATGTGGCTGTGCATATCTTTTGCTACCTATACACATACTGGGAGCAATGCCAATAGCAGGTGAAATTAAAAAATTAAGGTCTTTTATATATAATAAATGTACCAACCAAGCACATACATGTGGACCACATGTCTGGAGCAGCACAGGAAGACCACCTTGAAACCATCTTGACTCCCAAACTGACCAAACTGTTTTCTCTGCAAGGAGGGAGGGGGTGAGGGAACCTTCCCATTGTCTCAGGAATTGGGAAATCACCATTTCAAAGGAATGACCAGACTACCAGGAAAGGCAATCAGATAAGGCATTATCAGATAACCTGACAGACAGGAAAAACAACATTCAAATTTCTGTTGTAGATCGCCTTTTCTGTGATGTAGGTATTATGTTTGTGGGGGGTTGTCTTGGGTTACACCCCTTCTGCGATGTATGCATAATGTATGAAGGGGTGGCACACCTTGGTCCTGGGTCTTCCTCCTTTCCTGCGTGTGAGGGGAGCACCCTGTTGCAATAGCTTTAATAAAGATCAGGCTTACTAGCTGCTTTGCTTCTCAATATTCTCTGGTTGGCCTCTGTTATTTTCTCCTACCAATGGAGAACCTACAAAGGACTCTATAAGGGCTCTTGTGTCCCCCAAAAGGGAATAAGTGTAGATTTTTTTTATTACACAGGAAATAGAAGAAACAGAAGAGGCGAAGTATCTGGCTAGACACTGCGAGAAGAGAATGCTAGACTAGAAGTACCATTAGCTTGATCAAGCAGGCTATTCTTATGTTTACATTCCCATGAAGCTATGGGCAGAATGTTTTGTTACTCAGAAATACCACATGTAGCGATAAAGTACTGAATAAACCAGTCATTCTCACCCTTTTGCCTACTAAATGCTTTGACTACAACTCTTATCACTCTAATCATGACCCTGTTGGCTGGGGCTGTAGTTTAAAACAGTTGCAGAGCAGCAGGCTGCGGAAGGCTGGAGTAAGTTATAAGAAATTCCCGCCCAGATTAGTTTTCTTCTTCTCTTTCTCTTCATGCCATGTCCCCCCCTGACAATCGCTTGAAAGTGCTATGGAAGAACGAGGGGAAGAATGTATTTATTGTCTGAAGTACCACTTTGCACACCAGGAGGATCAGACCTCTATTTCTAAAACTGAAGCTTATAAAAGTGAAAAACAAAACAAAAGCATTACAAAACGAGAACAAAAACGCCACAATGTTAGATTAGATTTTAGGTGCTACGTTTGGAATCAGCTCTTCAAATACTTGATATTAAACACACTGAGCAGCATCTTTGGTAAAGTTTGCAAACCAGGAATTTGCATCTAAATCCACTCCATATAAGTAAAAAATATAGGCTGGCACCCAACCTTTCCACTCTGTGAATTAAAGGGTCTTCCATTCGTGGAACATGAGGTGAGCTCGTAGAAGGGGTCCTCCTGTGAATACAACTCTTTTTCTGTGACTAAAATTTAACTTGGTTGCTGCCAATACAGTTTCTTTTAAAGTTAGTGCCTTTTCATGAAGGAGCCCTTATTCCAATTTTCTAGGGGAGAAGTCAAGTTCTTATTCTTGTCCTGATACACAGATTTTTAAGAGTAATACTTCTAGAACACCATCTTCTTTGCATGAGAGGAAAGTACATGCTGTCCTCTTCTACTGAAATGGCTGTCTAAGTTTTGAGTTTTTGCTTTTATCGCACTATTTCAGCAACATTACATTCCTCTAGGGTTCTAGATCTTGGAAGAAAACAATGGGATGGTTTGGACATAATGCCAAACAATGGTTTGCCATGATGTCCAAACAAATGCCATTGGGCAAACCATTGTTTGTGAGTGGCCGGCAAACTAGGATCTGATAACAGGGTCTGCAAGCCATGGTTTAGAGATGGCTTGCACATCTCAGTTTGTGCAAACCAGCTTGGCATTGCATCCGAACCAACAAATCATTGTTTGAGATGATGCTCAACCTTTGAGGTTGTTTGGGAAATCACCCAGGGATTATCAGGAAAGGTGAGAGAAAAGGAATCCCACACGAGTTATCTCTGTATCTGGAACACACAACTTCATTAGGAATCTAAACTACAGTTATCACAAACCATTGTTTGACATTACATCTAAACCAACTCAATACCTTCCTAGAGACAAGTTATCACCTACTGCGAGCCACATAACTCTTATTGATATTATTTAATTCCTTTTTTGTGCTGGTATATCTCTGTAAATGTCTCTGGCTCACAATATACAAATACATGTTTGTTTGTTTGTTTGTTTTTTAAAAAACAGCCTTTAAACCCATTTACATTTGGTGTCTTGGGGGAAAAGGTCATGATGAACCATTTTCATTAAACATGGTTCAAAACCTGTCTAGTACATTAGATCGACTGCTCCATTTGCTGTCTCTGAATCTTTCGACTTTGAAAAAGGAAACTCAAATCCAGCAAGGCGTATTAGCAAAATGTTCAGGATGTGTACCAACGAGCACACCAGAATGATCCAGAATGAATTTGCAAATTGCTCACTGTGAGTTTTAAAAATAAAGCTCCCTTCTTTATAATTAGCTATTTTCTCTGAGAGGTGGTGGATTTTCACTTCTGATGAAAAGAGTATCATGATGAGGCAGCCACAAGAAACTGAAAAAGAAGAAAATCCAAAATTAGCATTTTGACAGTTTTCTAACGGACCTTTGCACAACGGGGCAGTATTTCTGTTTTCTTTGCATTTCAGTAGTTACAAAGCAGCACCCCACTTTGTATATCTCTTCTGTGGGGTGCACCATGGTTTACTCCAATAACTAATGTGGTAAAAAAGGGAAAGGTACCCCTGACCGTTAGGTCCAGACACAGACGACTCTGGGGTTGTGCGCTTATCTCGCTCTATAGGCCGAGGGAGTCGGCGTTTGTCCGCAGACAGCTTCCGGGTCATGTGGCTAGCACGACTAAGCCACTTCTGGTGAACCAGAGCAGCGCATGGAAATGCCGTTTACCTTCCCGCTGGAACGTTACCTATTTATTTACTTGCACTTGACTTGCTTTCGAACTGCTAGGTGGGCAGGAGCTGGGACTGAACAATGGGAGCTCACCCTGTCACAGGGATTCGAACCACCGACCTTCTGATCGGCAAGGCCAAGGCTCTGTGGTTTAGACCACAGTGCTACCCACTACAGTGGTACCTCGCAAGACGAATGCCTCACAAGACGGAAAACTCGCAAGATGAAAGGGTTTTTTGTTTTTTGAGCTGCTTCGCAAGACGATTTTCCCTATGGGCTTGCTTCACAAGATGGAAACGTCTTGCAAGTTTGTTTCCTTTTTCTTAACACCATTAACACAGTTGTGACTTGACTTCGAGGAGCAACTCATAGCACGCGGTGTGGTAGCCTTTTTTGAGGTTTTTGAAGACTTTGGTGATTTTTGAAGCTTTTCCAAAACTTTTCTGACACCGTGCTTCGCAAGACGAAAAAAATCGCGGAATGAGTTAATTTCGTCTTGCAAGGCACCACTGTAATACCTAATGTGGTAGGTAACCAGATTGCCTCAAATGGGAGTGCAATGAGAAGAAATCACATCAAAATGATGGGAGGAAATTTCCCTAGTTGGGTTTATATTTCAGTGTTAAGAGGTGAAAACAGGCAAAATGCAAGGCAGGGGCAGGGAACTTCCAGACCATTGGCCAATTTAAACCCAGCACGTGTCCCAATTTGACCCATGAGGACGTTCTACCAAACCACACCCACCTGCCCCACACCTGACATCACAGGTGATATCAAATGTGAGGCACATAGAGACATGGCTGAATCAGCTGCACAACTGGGTTTTTCATGGGCAATGCAACTGAGCAGAAGATCCCTGCAGAGAGTAGCTATGTCAACCCTCTGCTGAACATATGCTGGCAAATCTCCTTGCACTATTGTTCCCAATCACCCAGCAGCCAGCTGGCGGTTGGTCACTTGGGAAGCACTGTGCAAGGGACTTTGACAGGTGCCAGTCATCTGGGGTTGTGATGCCAGATGATTGACAGGTGGGTTGTCCCGCCCATCAGTCAAAGCTGGCCCACAAGAGCCCACAAAATGTAAGGGATACTTTGCTTAACCACTCTTTCATCCCAGGCTCTGACAAACATAACCACGGCATTACATTTGGAACACTTACATGAGATGAAGCTCCACAGGTACAGCCCTAGCGGACCATGCAGTGTTTCATAGGGTTTGCCGAATGCGTTGTACATGAAGAACCCAGTCTCAATCAGGGCAAACACTAACAACGCCAAAGAGAAGAGGATAACACTCACATGGATACTCGCAGGGATAACTTTGAACAAATCTGGAAAAACTAAAAAAACAAACACACACACACAAAAGAACAAAAGACAGAGAAAGGAATTACTGCGGAAATCAGGCAAAGTTGTCATCTCCGAAAAACAGGACCCCGATGCCATGAAACATGCTTATCACTGGGAGATGGAAGAAACTGATAAAGGGAGAAGAAATGTTCAAAAACACTTAAGAAAGAAATAATAGCAGGACCCAATGTCTACATTTATGGCCCAATACATATGCTGAGAAGCAAAAGTATCAGAATGATCCTTGCAAGTTAGGTTTACGGTGATATTCTGGAAGGCAGGGTAGTTAAATAAGGGTTCATAAAACATCCAGTTTCAATATTGGGTCAAGACCGAGAAATTCTTGCCTGGGTTTAGGAATAGACTTGAGTAGGTGTGGTAACAGGCCGAGTGCAACAAGCAAGTTTGACTAAGGCTTGGATGGCCAAGGATTGGCCTTCCAGGGTCAGCTGACACACACCTGATCAAAATGAAGGAAATGTGCCCTTTCTAGGAAGCTAAAGGTGGTGAATGTTTCATAGGAATCATTGGTGTGGTGGTGGTTTATACTTCCCAGCCCCCAAAGTGTGACTCTGTTTTGGCCCAGCCCCATTAAATATGGTAACCTATTCTATACATGAAGTATTCAGAGTGGATGGTGAACTAGGCTTGCTACCACAGGGCGATTTTCAAATATTTCTACACAGTTTAGTGACAGCAGATATTTCAGAACGAATCATTGAATGCAGAGTAAATGCTCCCACTCCATGGGGGTATGATTAAGCCAGTGCTAATACTCCTTTGAACTGCCTTGCTGTGGTTAGAACATGCTGAGAAAAAGCTCTGTAGGCACTTCAAATAAATTTTATCTACCATGTAAAATGTAAATTGCTAGCAAGTGGGTTTGTGGCAGGCAATGCAGTCGGCATATCAGAGCCATCCAACATTGCTTGATTCAATCCAATTCAATCTGTTGATTATTTGTAATATGACCATTGCTTCCTTCTTGCTCAGTGGTTGCAATTAGCCAATGGGAAATTGAAAGACTATGTACTGTACATTAATTACAAACATAAGGAAAAAATATTTCAAAAAGAGACTCTCAGGTTGTGTTGTTTTTTAATTCTTTGAGACAGGTGTTGGTTCTAGCAGACAGTAGAAAAGCACAGATAATTTCAACTTTTTGTTTTGTAGGTTTTAATGTTTGTAAAATAAGAAATGTTGATGACGATGACAGCAAAGTTCATTAAAATAAGCTTGTAAAAAAACATGTCACTGGGCCAAGTTCAAAGTGTTAGTATAAAGGCTCAAATGGCTTAGGTATTTGAAGGGGCATCTCAGGTATAATCCTATATAAGGTCAGCTGCAGTAGATTATGAGATCTGTAGCTTGTCAGTGGGACTTCTAAGCAATAACACCTCAGTGCTCATGGCACACTCTGCCCTCTGAGGTTTGGCTGGGAACAACTTTGATTACTTTTTGGCCCCAGCTAAAAGCTTTCCTTTTCCACCAGGCCTAGAGAAATTAAATTAAAACAAACAAACAAATAAAATTCTGAAAGAGCCATTATGTACCTGATAAATACTTGGCTATGTACTTGGTTGATATACTTTAGAGTTGGAGATAGTTGTAATTTAAAATACAGGATTATATCCAACCCTGCTGTTCCACTAGTGCAACAGATGTGAGTGATGGAACTTCGCCCTCCTCGCACTCCCTGCTGCAGCCCCACATACACCTTCAAAAGTGAAGGACCCTCCGAAGCAGATTTTGGGGTTGCACGGGGAGAGGAGAGGATGGGGAAATGTTGCATGGGCATGACTCCCTTCATCCAGTACTGGATATGACCCTTAATGTATTGTTGTTTTTACTGTGCATTGTATTTTGCATTGTTGTGTCCTGCTGCAAGTTCATAGGCTCCCAGTACCTTTCCAGGCACAATTCAAAGTGTTGGTGCTGACCTTTAAAGCCCTGAATGGCCTTGGCCCAGTATACCTGAAGGAGCGTCTCCACCCCTATCATTCTGCCTGGACACTGAGGTTCAGTGCCGAGGGCCTTCTGGCGGTTCCCTCACTGCAAGAAGTGAAGTTATAGGGCCTATATGCAGAAGGCCTTTTCGGTAGTGGCGCCCGCCCTGTGGAACGCCCCCCCCCCACCAGATGTCAAAGAAATAAACAACTATCTGACTTTTAGAATACATCTGAAAGTAGCCCTGTTTAGGGAAGCTTTTAATATTTGATGAATTATTGTATTTTAATATTTTGCTGGAAGCTGCAGAGAGTGGCTGGGGAAACCCAGGCAGATGGGTGGGATATAAATAATATATTATTATTATTATTATTATTATTATTATTATTATTACTCGTGTATGATGAGAGGTGGGATGTAAATTCTGCCGACAAACAACTTGAGAAAGGACACTATTCTCTTACATAGCTTGTTTCCTCTGTTCGTCACTAGTACGTGGTCGCAACGTGGCTTATTTCTGAGTAGACGTGCATAGGATTGCACGGTAAGGTTGCAGTCCTAAACACACCTACTAGGAAGTAAGCATCATAAAACACAATGATGCTCACTTGTGAGTAAGCACATGCAAGGGCACATTGTGCAAAAATGTGAACTGTTTACACAGCTTGCAAATTTCATTTTCCCTTGATGCAAGATTGAGTTTGTTTCTTTCCAGCACAGATTTGGTTTTATATACAGTGGTACCTCGAGTTACAGACGCTTCAGGTTACAGATGCTTCAGGTTACAGAGTCCACTAACCCAGAAATAGTACCTTGGGTTAAGAACTTTGCTTCAGGATGAGAACAGAAATCATGCGGTGCTGGCGCGGCGGCAGTGGGAGGCCCCATTAGCTAAAGTGGTACCTCAGGTTAAGAACAGTTTCAGGTTAAGAACGGACCTCCAGAACAAATTAAGTTCTTAACCCAAGGTACCACTGCGTATCAGAAGCAGCTTTTGTCATGCTTATTGCCATGCCACCCACAACACTGGGTCGTCCAGGCTGTTTCCCTCAATAGCGACATTCAGAACTTTTTACATATCATTAAACTTTTATAGGTGACTACCAGATAAAATTAATGCAGCAGTAATGTTGCCCTGGAAGAGAAGACAGACCTTCATTATAAGCATTGAATCTGCATGCCAGTGGCCTTTAGAAAATGAACCGCTGACCCAGAAACAGACAAGAGCCAGAGTAAATGAAGCAGAAGGCTTTCCTGAGCCTGAATGGGTTTTACAGGCAGAGCAAATTCATTTTACAATTAAAAGAGATATAGCGGCCAACAGGGAGAGCATTTAATGGGTGCAAACGCAGGACTAAAACAAGGCAGATGATTTAATCCTTTCTTCTTAGCCTTGCCATGCTGTGCTTCAATGCATTAAAATGCAAACACATCTACTGTAAATGGTAACATTTCCTAAGACATTTATAGCCATTTAGGGAGAGAGTTTCCTTGCGATTGCAGCAAAGGCAGTGAACAACAGCCAATGTTCCCTAGTAATTACACAGCAGACTGAATCTTGTATTGGAAGCAGCTGCCTTTAAGCTACTGGACATTATATAACATTAATAAATTCCATCTAGGTGTATGTTCACCCAGTAAAAAAAAAGAAAAAGAAAAAAGTTCATTCAAAGTAAATATGACTGCTATTTCAGACTGCCATTACTTTTCTCTGTCCCCGGATTAATCACAGAGCCCTGCTTTGGTGCCAAATAGATAATTGCAAACTCCTTTTTCCATCATAAAAGGCAGATGACACAGTACTGTACAATCGATACGGGGTGAGTGGGCAGAATTGAGTCGTGCTTCTGACTCGCCACTGATTTCTGTGTGTTGATCAAGTCATCTTTATGTGTGGAACTTGAATGTATCTGCTCTCTGTGCAGGTAAACTGATCAATGTGTAGAGTGTTTGAGTGGACCAGTGGGAATGACCCCATAGCCGCCCTCCTTTTTGCTTTGATTGTGGATGGATATGTTATCTAAACAAGGCTGCAAACAATTGCCCGGGGAGGTCTATTCGCATTACTCTCGTGGTGTGCCAGGAAGTAGACTGATGCAACCCAGCTTCCTCATGGTTTTCACCTGGCATTCATCACACATGTTCCCAGGTGGGAACATGCATGAAGTGGGGACATGCGGGACAGGGCAGGACAGTTACGGCATGCCAACTGCACCAGATCCACTTACCTCCCTTTGCAAAACCCTCACATGGAATGGATATTTCATAGCATTTGGGGGTGGGGGTGGGAATAAGGATATGTTCCAACAATATATTTTCAATGAAGAATAGCTTCCACAGTGTTCAAATGTTCAAGCTCTCGACTGCCATCTGTTTAGATCAGGGGTCAGCAAACTTACTGCGCCTCGGGCCGGTGTCTCCAGCGCCAATCACGAGGTGGGCCGGAGGGCGGGGGAGTGCGTGCCCATACGTGTGCACACACACTATTTCCAGCACACTTCTGGGTCGGAGGAGCACCGGAAATACAGTGGTGCCTCGCAAGACAAAATTAATCCATTCCGCGAGTCTCTTCGTCTTGCAGTTTTTTCGTCTTGCGAAGCATGGCTATTAGCGGCTATTAACAGCTTAGCGGCTATTAACGGCTTAGCGGCTTAGCGGCTTTAAGAAAAAGGAAACAAACTCGCAAGAACTCGCAAGACGTTTTGTCTTGCGAAGCAAGCCCATAGGGAAATTCGTCTTGCGGAACGACTCAAAAAACGGAAAACTCTTTCATCTAGCGAGTTTTTCATCTTGCGAGGCATTCGTCTTGCAGGGCACCACTGTAGCTTGTGCGCATGTGCACGGGCCTCCTCCGACCCGGATGTGCACCGCAAATAATGCTTGCGCATGTGCAAATAATGCTTGCGCATGCGCACAAGCTATTTCTGGTGCTCCTCCGACCCGGAAGTGGGCAGCCACGGAGCGCTAGTAAGAGCGGGCAGTGGCAGCTGGTGGCGGGGATTGCTGCGGGCCGGATAAACGAGTCCCTTGGGCCTTATCCGGCCCGAGGGGCCTTAGTTTGGGGACCCCTGGTTTAGATTGTGGGTTGAGTTCCCCCGTCTGACTTAGGTGTTAGGGGAAATTCAGAAGCTTTTCTTTCGAAACTGCATTACGTGCACCTGGTAAACTGTCTTTTAACTTAACTGCGGTTAGTGGAATCGAGCCAATTTCAAGCTATGTTTTATGATGCCAACTTCTTACCATTAACTATTAAGATTAGGCACAATATAGGGTTCAGGCGATGTGCCAACATATGATTAATTTGGAATGGAAGCGAAAGCTTCTGAGCAACTTGCAACGATGCCAGAGCAGTGGCGTAGCGTGGGTTGTCAGCACCCGGGGCAAGGCAAGTAATTTGCGCCCCCTAACCTGTGGATTTGCGCCCCCTAACCCTAACCCCCAGATGTTGCGCCCGGCCCCCCCTGCACCCCCCACGCTACGCCACTGGAGGGACTCCCAAGAAGGTGAAGCGGGACTTCACCCCAGGGTATCTCGGAAGCCCTCGAGGCAGCGACGCTTCCACCCCTGGAAACAGCAGGAAGGGAGAGCGCTCTTGTGCCCCGGTCCTGCTTTGAGTGCTTCTCATTGACGCGTCTGCTTGGCCACTCACTCTACATGGGCCCTTGTGGCCTTGATCCAGTAGCCGGGTCCTTCTTTGGAAAGAGCGAGCGCCTCCCTCCGCCCCCGCCACACGGAGCTCAGCCTGCACGTGGGCATGGCGCGCTGCTCTCTCCAGCTTCCTCCCGGCCGGGCCAGCGGCTCCACCTCTTTTCCTTTGCCTTTGAGCCGCTTAATTCCCAGCAAGCAATTAGCAGGCTCGCTCCACCTCCTCCTCCTCCCGGCTTTGCTGCTGCTGCTGCGAGGCTCTTTTCCTCCACCGACGGCGCGCTGCGCCTTGGAGAGGTTCCCGCTTCCTCGAGGGGGGCCGGCCAAACGCGCCCCCAAAAATGTTGCGCCCGGTGCGGCCGGCACCCCTGGCACCCCCCACGCTACGCCACTGTGCCAGAGGAAGGAAGAGGTTACATGAGGAGTCCAAGCCTCCATACAGACTGTTCTCATAATACTATGTGCACTAACTCATGGGAATGGACTATGTCTTAAGCATTCTTCCAGCTCCACCATCTTAATAAACAAAGTTTGGTTAGTGCTTCCTAGATTCTTTAGCAAGTCATTCTGAGAATTCCTACAGGGTGACAGGAGCGGGAAGCAATGATAAGCACGATTTTCAGAGAGGTCTCAAGAACTGCTAAAGCCTGCTATAGAATGCAATTAGATGAAGCAATTCTCAATAATATCCAAAATGAATTTGGTCTACTTCCTCTGCACAGTCAATCATTTTCATGTCTGCAGTTCAGGACGTACACCAGAAATGACTCACACAAGCCACAATGTTTCTCTGCAGATTACTTGCAAATTGTTTCTGGTAAGAAAATAAATGTTAGGTGGCATATTATGAACTCTTCTCCAGATAACCATTATTTCTTTTTAATATGGTGCTATGCATAAATCATGTGCATGACTGACCATTTTAACATTATTTACTCCTGGAAGGTAAACAGATGAACTGCAAAACTCTCATCCTATGCAACTCTGCAGTTGCCAATCCTGGATAATAATGATTTGTCGAGCAAGTGAGGCTGTATTCCTATGCACGCTTACTTAGAAGTAAGCTCATTGGATTTCGACTGGACTTGCTTCTGAGTACACCTGTATAAGATTGGACTCTGGCATTTAGATTTTTAGCTGATGAATAAGTCCCAGTAGACTCAATTGACTTACTTTTGAGTAAACATGCAGAGGATTGGACTGTTGATTTCTCACAGTCTGCATATCCAGAACATAAACAAGTATTTACAATAGTTCTCATTCCTTCCCGCTCATTTCATTAATATTAAAATGACAATAATTCAATAAGAATTAATAACATAACAACAATAATTAAAAGAGACACCAAAGCACAGTATTGGAAAAGAGTTTGAAAAATTAAGGCTGTGATGCCATGCAAGCTTTCTTGAAAGGAAATCCTACAGAACTCTGTGGCCCTTACTCCCAAGAAGACATGCACAGGATCTGACTGCTCCTTCAACTAGCAAGCTATTATGACAGTAAATACATGTTGATAGAAGAAGCACATGATGTATATTACGGTGACATAATTTCACATCTCCCACTAGCGCATCTTTTGGAAGAAACAGGAGAATGCTCATGTACGTATCTGTCAGACCACGATAGCATGCACTAAAGCATTAAATAATTCAGATGTCTTTGTTACTTACATGAAAACCGAAAAGGTCTCCCTCCGAGCCCGCATTGTCTAACCCTCTCCCCATAGAAAAGTCCATACTGAATTTCACCAATAAACTTCTCTAATTCTTGGCCGGTAGCATTGACAAGCAGCGCTCCAGTTTTGCAGAGTATTCTTCCTCTGAGCCACAGCTGAGTTCCGATGGCTGCTGCAATACTGAGAGCACAAGCAAAACTTAGCACGCCAGCAACACAGAATAACACTTTCTTCTGTTGGGCTGGCATATATAATCCTGGATGGCATACAAACAACCTGGAAAATGCAGCCTCAAATAAAACCTTTAGCAAAGTGTGTTTTGCACCATCTCCTCTCTGTGTCACTTGAGAACAAAGGTTTAAGATAACAGATGGAACCCTCAGTGTAATTTGATGAATGCCTCCCCCCCTTTTTTTTCTAAACAGCCCTTTGTCTGATTGGGTGAGCTGAAAATTCCAGAAACAGACATGGCTCTCCAATTAAGTTAGAAGAAGAAGAGTTTGGATTTGATATCCCGCCTTTCACTCCCTTTCAGGAGTCTCAAAGCGGCTAACAATCTCCTTTCCCTTCCTCCCCCAGAACAAACACTCTGTGAGGTGAGTGGGGCTGAGAGACTTCAGAGAAGTGTGACTGGCCCAAGGTCACCCAGCAGCTGCATGGGGAGGAGCGGAGACACGAACCCGGTTACCCACACTGGCTCTTAGCAACTTTGCAAAGAAGTTGTGCAAGGTTTCATTTGGGAGATATCAGTACAGATATAGATTATCTATCTATCTATCTATCTATCTATCTATCTATCTATCTATCTATCTATCTATCTATCTATCTATCTATCTATCTATCATCTATATCTATCTACAGTGGCGTAGCGTGGGTTGTCAGCACCTGGGGCAAGCAAGTAATTTGCACCCCCTAACCCGTGGATTTGCGCCCCCTAACCCGTGGATTTGCGCCCCCTAACCCTAACCCCCAGATGTTGCGCCCGGTGCGGCCGGCCCCCCCTGCACCCCTCACACTACGCCACTGTCTATCTATCATCTACAGTGGTACCTCAGGTTAAGTACTTAATTCGTTCCGGAGGTCTGTGCTTAACCTGAAACTGTTCTTAACCTGAAGCACCACTTTAGCTAATGGGGGCTCCTGCTGCTGCCGCGCCACCGGAGCACGATTTCTGTTCTCATCCTGAAGCAAAGTGCTTAACCTGAAGCACTATTTCTGGGTTAGCAGAGTCTGTAACCTGAAGTGTATGTAACCTGAAGTGTCTGTAGACTTAAAAGGATTAAGAAACAGAATTCGAGTTTTACTCTTAAATATAGAGGTCTGGATGGAAGAAAAATGGACTTTCTTGAGATAGAGCTTCTCTAAGATCGGGTGTTTGAAACTAAAGATTACTAAAAAAATCGGCAAAGTGGAGCTGAGAGAGATTTGGACATGGATGTGAGGTCTCCAGGCTGATAGCAGATAGACTGATGGACATTGGGGATCGAAACCGGGAAAGGGGGGAGGGAGATTTGGAATCCAAAGGGTGTAAAATTATATTTTGAATTTTTTTTTATTTCTTTATTTCGTTTTGCTGTGTGTAATAAAAAGGGGAATTCGTGGAAGGGAACTGGGGTTGACCTTAGGGGGGAAAAAAATTTAATGTTGAAAGACGGTGGAATATAAAGGGAAAGTGGTTATATAAGATGAACTAAATTGAATAATGGGCTAAATATAATAAGTTTAAAATTTGGGGTAAGAACTTGTGGAACTAATCTAATGGAAATGGAATACAAGAGGGGGAGGGGTGGGGAAGTCCTGGAAATATGTTAATGAAAGCAAGGCTTTAAATGTAAATGCTTTTTTTCCCTTTTTTTTTTCCTTTTCATGTTTTGGACTTTTTGGAAATTTCAATAAATATGATTTTTTTTTAAAAAAAAGCAGACTCTGTAACCTGAAGCGTATGTAACCTGAAGCGTATGTAACCCGAGGTACCACTGTATTGCATGTTATTGTGTATAACTCAGGAAATCTATAACTGAAAAAGCCCCCCCCCCAAAAAAAACACCCCTCAACCAGTGTGCACACTTCATCGTGGCTGAAATGTAGCTAGTGTATTTAGACAGGGCAGATGAGACAATCAGTATACTGCTAAACAGCGTTTCCATGCGCTGCTCTGGTTTCGCCAGAAGCGGATTAGTCATGCTGTCCACATGACCCGGAGAAACTGCCTGCGGACCAACGCCAGCTCCCTTGACCTGTAAAGCGAGATGAGTGCCGCAACCCCAGAGTCGTTCGCAACTGGACTTAACTATCAGGGGTCCTTTACCTTTACCTGCCACAAAGCACTTACTGGTAAATCATTCTGATCGGTGTTTTGCTTCCAAATACTGTACTTTGGTTCTGTTGAAGTCCATGTAAATTCAGGTATTTGTGAATTTGACTGTTGTGGGGTTTTTTTTGTTTTTTTTTTAAAGCACATGGCTTCATTAAATATGTTCAGATGTTGGCTGTGGTTAGAAAGTGGCTTTAAGCGGGCTGAAAATGGCGTCGTTCACAGTTTGTGTGTTTTCTAGATAGTTCTATCATTGTATCATCTTGTTACAACTGAGAATTGGGTATGCTGATTAGACTATTACACTAAGACTGGGGAGATCCAGGTTCAAATTTCCACCATAAGGAAGCCTCTCTCTTTCTCTCAGTCTAACCTGCCTTGCAGGGCTATTGTGAAGAACCAATGGGTTGGGGGCAGGAGAGAATTTTGTGTGCTGTCATGTGCTCCATGGAGGAAAGATGGGGTATAGGTCTGATTTTTTTTAAAGTGCTACAGGATCTTTGCAACAGGAGCACCCAGCTGTTTAATGCATGCATGTTCCAAATCAAATTAATTTCCTAACAGCATATTTCTTAGTTACACGTTGCTACACGAAGGACATGAATGCTTAAGCGCACCATCAACTATGCTAGCACAATGTGACGAAGCATTATATTATTCCAGCATCTTAGCAAGCTTGTATCAGCCTCCCTGAAAGGCTACTGCTTCATATTATAAGGATGAGAGGTGGTTGATGATGGCAGGGCCAAGGAATCTCAGCCTGCTACATATAAACCTGGCATCAATTAATTATAAATCATTATTTTAAATTTAATTGAAATTAAATTAGCCTTTTAATTAAATAGTGCAGATGCACCACTAACTCATTCTTGTAGCAGAACTATTTCTGCCAATGGGCAAAGAATTATTCCTATTGCGTATTCTTCTCTTATGTTTTATGCTGAAAATAAAACCTTGCACCGTGGCTTGAACTTACAGGGTATAACCAAAAGGTGGCACACCACTGTGCCTTAAGAAGACATTGAACTGGATTTATGCCAAGCAAGGTATCACTACAGAACAATTTTCAGAATTCCAAGAGGGCAAAACAGTTCTGAAGCTTAAAGTATACTACTTCCATACAAAAGGTGCAGATAAGGTCATAGGTGATGGTTGTGATTGGTGGTGTGGCTTCCCCCCAATAAATCCATAATCAACAATGACACTATTAATTTATGCATATGGAGATATGTGATAATACACATTGGTGTCCATGTGTAAAGGGACCCCTGACCATTAGGTCCAGTCGTGACCGACTCTGGGGTTGCTGCGCTCATCTCGCTTTATTGGCCGAGGGAGCCAGCGTAGAGCTTCCAGGTCATCAGGTCATGTGGCCAGCATGACTAAGCTGCTTCTGGCGAACCAGAGCAGCACACGGAAACGCCGTTTACCTTCCCGCCGGAGCGGTACCTATTTATCTACTTGCACTTTGACGTGCTTTCGAACTGCTAGGTTGGCAGGAGCAGGGACTGAGCAACGGGAGCTCACCCCGTCGCAGGGATTTGAACTGCCGACCTGATCGGCAAGCCCAAGAGGCCCAGTGGTTTAGACCACAGCGCCACCCGCGTCCCTAGGTGTCCTGTGTAGCATATTTAATATCTGAGCACGGTATTACAGTGAACCAGAAAAGGACCAAAATTACACTATATGTGGACAAATATATCAGATTCATCTTCAGATATGGAGGCATGTGGCATTGCATATGTGTGCAGGTGTGAATGTCCTTGACAGGTGTGAAATGCATCATACCAAGGTATGGTGTGGGATCTCTATATAGCAGACTCTCAGAAGAGGTATAACCAGGGCAAAACAGGGAAAATGGGAATACTGCAGCATCTGAACTAGGAAAATGAAAGGATTTCCTTCATCAGACAGTGAATAGGGACATGTTTGAAGAAATCAAGATTCTCATTGTTTCCTGAAGCCACGGGGTGGTTACCTGTCTGCTCATTATGCTTTTAATTACCACTGGAAGCATTCAACAGTCAGTGCCCACCTGATCCCCAATGAGGCTTACATGATGCCTACATTAAGATACTTTTGGCACCAGTTAATACTTTTTTAAAAAATCTCCCAGACCTTGGTACAATTTGTTTCTGCTGTGTTTTAAATACTGTTATGCTGCTTGTCTCAATTTGTAGACAACAAACTGAACAGATTCATTTGTAATGTTTGAAATGCTACTGTTATCATCATCATCATTTTCTCTAATATTTCATTATTTTAATTGTTTGAATTCTGTATTAGCTGCCCAGAGGACTTTGACATGAAGAACTATGAACTATGGCGCCACACTAAGAAGCAAGGGATGTTGTTGGTCGTCTAACATTCAGCTACATAGGATGGTCCAGAGTTCTAGTGTCATGAGAAAGAAGTTTTTCTTCCTATTCATTTTCTTCACACCATGTAAACTGTTACTCGCTTCTATCATGTCTCGCTTGGTTTTTACCATGGAGGATAAATGGAACTAACAAAATAAGAGTTAGCTAAAGATAATGGGATTATTTAATTGCCTTAAACTGGGTTCTATTGAAACATCAACTGTCTGCAGCCCCCATTACAGAATTATTCCACCCAGCATCCATGTGACTGAAACTTTGTACAGGCACAGTAGGCAGCCCATTCAGGCCTTTAATGTGCTAATTAAAAAGCTAAATTAATATTTATGTAATCTGTCAGGTGCTGAGATTTCACGGCGCTCTAAATCCAAAAGCTACAATTTTACGAACAATAGTGGCTCTCCTAAATTAGGTTTCTGCATTGCAGCCTTGCTCAAGGTTTGACAGGAAACTCAAACACGTGACGTTACTTTTCTGTGTTATTCAGAAATAAAATCCATGGTCAAGGGCAGCCTTTAAGCTTATATAACAATTTTTACTCTGATGTATTGCCCTTCATTATGAAGGTTTTGGAAATCATTTTAAAAAGGAAAACACATAACCTGCAATCCATGCAGTGTATGGTCGAAAGGGGAACACAGCCTGAGTCTTCAAGGTTTGTATATATAAAATAATATTGAGAACATAGGAA